ACACACACACACACACACACACACACACATATATATATATATATATATATATGTATGTATATAATTTTTTTATAATTTTTTTTGAGTGATTCTGTTTCTATTCTGTTCAGTTAGTGTTCCCAGGTATATCTATAAATTATGCAACAATGAGCAGGCATTACATTTAATAACATGCCAAAAGTCATTAAGGACATACTGAAATCCCAGGTCTAAAACTATAACTAAATAAATCTAATTAATTTTCAGATTCAAGATTTCTGTGAATGCATTGCAGATTGTAGCATTATACATCCATGCCAAATGTTTATTATCTTTTGTTTAAAGCTTCAATAATGTCTGCATGAGTTCTCATAAGGTTAACAGAACTTTTTTTTTTTTAAAGAAAAGTAAATTAAAAAATATATATTATTATTATTATTAATAATAAATACTATTACTTCTACAAGTAACATTGTGCATGCAGGATTTCAGTTGTAATACCCTGGTTCCATCACTAGATGTACCCGTTGTCATTGGATTAACTTGGGTTACTAATAAGCAGAACTCCATCTGTGATATTGTCTTTTCTCAATAGTCAGATATTGAGTAACCAGACAATCCTACCTCTTTGTCAAGTGAGGCCTCCAGGTGTAAAGGTTTATCTGACATGAGGAACTGCCTTGTGGTTTCAGCCATTGGCTGTGGGCCCGGCTTCTCTGGAGCATACTGCACTTTTCTGATGACAAGACGCACTGAATTCCTGTAAAATGGCAGTTAATGGGGCATACATATCATAATGTGTGACATTTATTGACTTTTACGAAATCTATGCTGTGAGTGGTTGCCAGGACAGTGTGATGTGTAGCTAACATGAGTGGTTTTCGAGCATGTTGCTTTGTGTTTGTTGAGGGTCCTTATATAAGGATTTTTTTGTTTTCAGACATTTTATCTGAACTCTGATCATTTAAGAGTAATAGCACATCATTCCTCAACAGAATACCCTGTTTAAGTATTATTTCTTGGCACAAATTGTGTGAGGCTTGTTGTGATTATTAAAACAGTAACAGTAACAAAACGAATAATAAATAATCTTGTATTACTGCCTGTTAGACAGACCACTCATTTGAATCTGAAATGAAATTAGCAATCATAATAAGACACTTTCTCAAATGTATTCAATCGAAAATCATTCTGTCTCGTTTGTCTCCCACATTTTCCAAAAACACATTCCGACCAATGTTTCAAAGAAAGGTTATGTTTTATGTGTTGCTTTGTGTCAGTTACTCGGTTGGGTGCCATTGTGAAAGGCTGTACCTTTTGTGGATTTTTTCTTCAACGTTTTCTGCACAGAAAGCTTTCACTTCAAAGTCAACCCCGCAGGCCTTTGCAGATAGGAATAAGAAAATGTGTGAAACTGCAAAGCTGAAAAACTGAATTCTGCAAAGCCCTTTTACTTGTCTGTCAAAACCAACATCATGAAACATTATTTGAAGGAAAATGTACCTTTCCTGTATCCTCTGGCCCTGGTTGTAACGTGACAGAACAGGGCAAGTTCGGAGGAATCTGTGAGAAAATGTTTGACATTTAATGTTGAGAATGAAATCGTAGCACAAATATGACAAAGGGGCCAAATTTAATCAAAACTGAATCCAATATCAAGAAAATAAGAAGTTTCACCTCAAAGGTGAAGGGGTAAGCATGTTCTCCAAGTTTCTTTATCAGTCGCTCTTGTAGACGTGTCAAGCTCTTTTTCTCTTCTGGCACGGGAGGAAATGCCTGGATGTTGGCAGCAAAGAGGTCTTTGCGAAACGTCAAGCCAAGAACGTCCAAGTCCTCCCGTCCATAGCGGAAAGCACACGTCAAGGTCACAAAAACTGAGGAAGAATAAAAACAAACTTCTCAGTAACTGTATGGTTAATGGATTTACAGTCAACTTTGTACTTCTTGTTCCTAATGAAAGATAACCATTAACAAATGGGGAAATTACTGACATGCAGTAAGTGTACAGAGCTATATAACTAATGTAGAAAGCACAGCTCGGATATTAGACTCAGAGACAGATGAAATGAGTGAGGTTTGAGTTCAGATGTACTGAGATCTCTGATTTATGATTGCTGGTATCTTTCAAATCTAAGCACAGTTTGTAATGAATAGATCTCTTCTGAAATTTTAGAGGGGGCATGTGAAAATGAGGAGAAAAATCTGTGAGGCTGGGAGTTTGGATATTGCTATACTGTGACGCTTTCAAAAAAATAAAAATAAAATCTCACCTTTTCTCTCTTTTAAGTACTCTGGATCAATTAAAACCACACCATCTGCAAGAGCAAAAAATGCATTATAGCTAAAATGTCAAATTTATACATGCTTAGCTGTGAAATGATTGTTATATTATTACTTTAATTTTTAATCCAAAATATTAAACTCTATTTAAAAAATGAAGTGATAAAATGTTTTCTTTGATGAATAATTTAAGTTTGAATAATGTAAGTTTAATCATTTACATTATTAAATTAGTCGTTTTAATCAATTGTATTTGCAAGCAGCTTCATTGTGTAATTACAACGTACACATACATATTTATGACATGTTAATTACAATATAATTACAATGTAACATGATTATGTATCTTATTGCCTACCGACAGGCTCCACAAGATCCACGTGGTCGACGAAATCCCTCTTACCAAGGTATACAGTTAACTAAAAAAGGCGATCATAAAATTACAGTATTAGCACAACACATAAAACAATTCGAAGACAGAACAGGTTGAACTGAGCTAAAATGTGCATTTGTGCCATTGTGCGCGTGCAGTTTTTTATTTATCTTTCATTAACCCCTGCAAAATTAATGCTTTTATGAAGTTATGAGCACTAAATTGTCTTTTTAGTGCATTTTCTATCAAAGCCCATTACAGAGTTGTCCCATTCGAATATATGTTTCTGTAATGGTTGTGTTGTCCCAGCTTTGCAGTAGGCCCCTCTTTCATATTCGCCCCACGCCCGCTTCCTGCTCAAGGACTGTTGCGGCGCACCGCGCGTCTCCCGGCTAATGATACATATAGACTCGTGGCTAAATGCTAACCGCACAACCATTGCGAGCTGGGACCCATCCGCCTGGCTAACCGTGTCGCAAGCATCAAATAACATTTTGGAACAAGAGGTACTTTGTTGCTCAATATTTGTGGTTATTCAGTCATAACCATTTCATAACAGGCTGTGCTGCACTCACTGACAGTAAACCTCTGCAGGATCAGAATCAAAACAACTGACAGTAACATTGCCGTTAAAAATGAAGGAGGGACAAAATGAATGTAATATTACCTTTCCATTCGGACTAGCCTTCTTGAACACCCTGTGGAAACAGAAGAGTATCATAAGATGATGATATACACTACATTTTGCTAAGATGCAGCGATTTAAAGGAGATATAAGTTGGTGGTGTCCTGAGAAATCACACTTGTCTCTGTGACAAGCCAATGGCAGTTGCTTGGCCGGTGCAAAACCCTTAAAAGGGGTGGTTCACTGGTTTTTTTTCTAGGCTTGATTGTGTTTATGGGGTGCAGTCTAACACGTGTTAATGCTTCGTTTAAAAAAAAAACGCATTATTGTTCACATAATTTACCTTTATTCCACACCGCTCTGTCCCTTCTCTGAGAAACATGCTGATCATTTCCTGCTTTTATGAAGCCCCGCCCTCAGAAATAGGTGATGGGCTCTGATTGGTTAGCTAGCCCAGTGTGTTGTGATTGGCTAAACCGCCTCTAGTGCGCATCTAATGATGTCACGAACCCGGGAAGTAACTCGTTGTAGTCCCTACCAACCATTTTTGTAGGTATTAAACCGCCAGAATTTTAAAAGACGATATCTCTGTTTGCATTGAACTTTCAGCTTCGTAACTTTGCAGATATTGTTTATGCTCAAACAGCAACATTACACACTAACGTTAAAAAAGTGAAATCGCAATCAACCACCCCTTTAAAACAAGCAATCTGGATGCTCTTTACTTTAAGGGCACTCGTTTCTGTTTTCTATGTGTGGTTTATTTAAATATCAAGCAGAAATTTTGAGCAAATCAGCCAAACTTGCCACTGTTATGTTGACTGGTTTTCTCCCAATGTTTTTTTTCTCCCAATGAGTTTTTCGTTCCTTGCCACAGTTGCCTGTGTCTTGCACATTAGTGAACTAAAGATTTTATAAACCATGTACAATGTGTTATGTCATGCCATGACTTTCAATTGACTGGGGTGGGTGATATGATCAAAATGTTAACCTTGTGTGCATCATTTAACCATGACAATGAGACACATCACCAAATAGTAGGCGTGTTACTAAACCAAACTGTTATTAATTTGAATTACAGGTTTCATAATCCTCAATGCCAAATAAATTAATAACTCCAACAACTACTATAAGTATATCCAACTTTACCCATATACATACTGTACCTTACTATATTATCTCACAGCTCTGTATATAAAGTTGGATATATAAGTGCAGTATATAGACATACAACTTTACCCACATAGATGCAGTATACTCAAAGCATAATATAGCAAAACTGCTTAATTGTTTATATTCATGTTCATAAACAGCTACAAATAGGCCACATTATCTGCAATAAGAAATCATTAGCAGTTTGTCTGTTTGTTTTCTTAGACTTTTTTTACATCCTAATATGTTCTTTTTTCTCTATATCTGTAGAAAGATTGGCTGCCTCAGTGGCAACTGAAATAATAACACATCTCTTAGCTCCTCATCCACAGTTCAGCCATTCCTTTCACAGCCAGCACCCTACAGCAAAACAACAATAAATGAAGTCGTAAATCAGCCTTGCTGCCGATGTGATGGCCTAAATTTTTAAAGGCACGCTGGGGTGTTTTATCTCTTTGTATATGGCCTAAGCAAAATTTAAAAAAGGGTTTGTTAGTGGGCTAAACAAAACAAAATTAGATTTTTTTTTTATGGACAAAGACTAAGTGTGCCACTCTTTGTAAACAACAACAAAAGAAATACATTTTCATTTCTTAACGTTTTTAAAATGGATAAAAATGGACTAACCTAAGGTTAGACATAGGCTATGTTCAGAATGAACGGCTACATTAGCATACTGCATACTGCACAGTACACTGCAATACTTCCTGCACATGCATCCTATTTTTTAACTGATAAACATTTCAAACAATAGTATGCTACAATGCTAACTGATCTCTGAGAGATGTAAATAAAATCTGAAAAATAAAAAGTTAATTTGCATTTTCATTATTTGCATTATTAATCTTGAAAGGACAACACTTGCATCAAGCAAGCAAGTTTGAGATTCCATTTACCATATTTTATGTGCTCTATGTATGTGCATTGATAAATGTTAAAGTGTAAAGTAAATCTGTTATATCATATAAAGTGTTTGTGTTTCTTAAAACTCTCAATTCAGATTACTTTTAATGTGCCTTTATGAACTTTTTGAAGCATCAAAGTTTTGAAGGAATGAACTTTCATTGGAGGGACAGAAACGTTTCATTAAAAATATCCTCATTTGTGTTCTGAAGATGAAAGAAAGTCTTATGGTTTGGCATGACATGAAGGACTAAATGATGACAGCACGTAAGTTTCTGGGTGATCTGACCCTTTAAATCTTGGCAGTATGATCAAATATAGAAGCATATCAAAAAATATTACTCCCAGTTCATTTGTGACACTGGAAATGGAAAGTCTAATCAAGCACATTGCATTGTGGGATACAGTACTCCGTTTAGCGTGATAGATTGTAAGTAGAAGATAGAAAACTTTCAAAACAGTGTGTTAATATTATTCCAAAAGTTCTTACCAGCCAAAGAACTCTTGCTCAGGCAAGACCTTGCGGTCAGTGCTAAAGTTTGGCAGGTGAAGCACAAAAGCTTCTCAGTGTAACGGAGGCCAGCGGTAGGTGTGCAGGTAAACCTCACTCCCCTGATCTCAAGAGACGCACTAGCGACTGACGCTAGTGGCTGCAGTCTTTAGCCTCTTTGTTAGTGCATCTGCCTCCCATGCCGGAGCTGGGAGAGAGGGGTTACATCAGCATTACACTTCTCAGTCTTTTCACTGCCATATCTAGTGATAGCCTACAGGCATGTTTGTTCTAGTTAAAGGGCTTCAATTACATTACCCAGCTTTCCTCTCTGTTAAGTCCTAATGCTGCTGTAAATTAGCTGTGGTGTCTCCACAAATCCCGCTGGGCACCAGCATATCCTCTCAACTTTACATCCTTATTAGGAGGAGCGTCCTCATTAATGGACATTACACTTTCAGAGGAAGCATTTTGGTACAATAAAAAGTGTAATGATGGAGATCTTGGCAGTTAGCAAAAAGCTTCTTACTATTAAAGCAGTGAGTGTGAATCATTAGCGTCTTCAAAAACACAAGTTTGTGGGATTTTTATGGCTTGAGCATTAGAAGACAACATCTGAAGTGGTTGTAATGGCACTGATGTGCAACCTATTTTGCACAAAACAAAGAGTTGTTATAAACCACAATATTAGCTTCATAATATTAACCCCAAAGGGGCCTTAAGATGACTTAAAATGACTTCATATAAAATAAAATAAGCAAAGCTAAAACAAATCAAGACAGTTCATATTTAAAATTAACCCCTGAACAACTGTCTTGGAAAACCTGGTCATGCCTTTAATAATTAATAAAATCAGGAAGATTAGGCCTATACATGATATTTCTAGTTATGCCAAGCTCTATATTTTTATAGTGGGGACCACTAATGAATAAAATTTATATTTATTTTCTTCTTTTCTTTTCAGTCATAAAACTTTGTGTTTATTTCCAGTTTTTGTAGCAGTCTCTCAGTTATGGAAGACAATGTACAAAAACAAATGTAAATAAAAAATACTACTGTTCCTATCCCTAAATGTTACTGGCAATGACTTCTGATAAATTGCTGTTTTTTCCCCTCATGTATAAGCCAGATAACAGCATCTGAAAAATGAATAAATCAGTGACTGTCAGTGAAGTTTCACTGTTTAAGTTAGCATGGTACAGCTGGCATTGCTTAAATAGAGAAATGTACTCTGAAAGCACACTGGCATTCAGTGAAAGAGACCTCTCTTTTAAAATATAGTCAGCATGGCAATGAATGATGCCTTTTACCATTTAGTGCCATGCCTCTAATTAAATTGCTTTGTAATGCAAATTACCATATTAAGGCACTGATTTTTCGTTGCCTGGGTCAGTGGGACACCAAGCCATTCAGAGCTGGATACTCTCTAGGTTTCCCACAGCACTATGTAAAAATGTTAGTAGTATATATGGCATATTTTCCAAAAGCATCGATACCGTAAGCATCGTAACATGGAAAAAATGTTTGAATAATTAATCAAATCCTATGAACGCTCAAAAGTACAAGTGCAGTTTAAATGCGCATTTCTATTTGCAAGATCAGATACAAAGAAAACAAAATAAACAATATTTATTTATTTTGGGCATTACAAAGTCACTGTGTATTATATTTGAAAAAACATTCAAAATATACATACATACAGTCGTGGCCAAATGTTTTGTCAGTGACAAAGTTTGTGTTTTGCAAAGTTTGCTGCTTCAGTATTTGTAGATTATTCTTCCACGTTTTTATGGTATACTGAAAAACAATGATAAGCATATCATACATTTTAAAGGCTTTTATTGGCAAAAAATGTAATGAGTCAATATTTACAGTGTTGACCCTTGTTCTTCATAACCTCTGCAATTCACTCTGGCATGCTGGATATTAGCTTCTGCGCCAAATCCTGACTGATGGCGATCCATTCTTGCCTTATTAGTTCTC